ACATCTACTGCTCCAATAACATACAAATTGTCTGTTAAAGGACCTATTGAACTAGCAACTGAAAATGTACCAAAGCCACTTATTGGATTTATGAGGGATTGTTGCTTTGCCATTCAGGTGCGTGCTAATGGAATCCCCATAATAAGATTAGATGACTATAACTTAGCTACGGACGACAGTGAGGAATAAAGGATGAACGTTTATTTTTAAAGCTTATAAATGAGTTCTTCATCAAGCTCTCGTGAACCTTCACCATCTATGAAACAAACTTTACCAAACGATTATGGAGCACCTATTGAATATTTCTTACGAGCTGCACAATGGCAAAGAGCAGTTTCACCAAGGTTAGGTGTTCCACCAGCTCCTGCCAAAAATAGCATTTGGTCAAGTCCTTATATAAAATATGGTCTCCCACTAGGTTTGCTAGCTACAGCAGGAGCAGTAATGATGTTGAAAAGAAATAAAGCAAATGTTGTAAATAATACTGAAGTAGCTGAAGTTAAACAAACTCCAACGCCTTCACAAGCAAAACCTTCAATGACTCCTGAACCTATGGAAGTACAAACTCCTGTTCAAAAGTCAACTCCTAAACCGACTCCAACATTTAAACCAGAACCTACTCCTCAAATAAATCGTAAAACTCCTGCGTTTCCTTACTGAAAAAAATAACGTTATTTTTATTTAATATTAAAATTTTTATTTGATTGAAATGACAAATAAAGTCACTGAAGCAATGAAACAAAAGTTTTTGGTAGAATACATTAAATCAGGAACTATTCCAGAAGGTTTTTACATTCATACTATGAAGGATGGTAGAGTTCAGTTTAGAAAGATAAAGCAACCATTAGATAAAGAAGGAATTTTGAGAAAGATTAAACTTCATGAGGACAACATTGCTGAACTTAGGAAGAAGTTAGAAGAGTTGGAGAAAGGAAGTGAGTTATAAAACAATGAATTCAACAGGGTGAAAAAAGAGGTGAAAAAAGAGGTGAGATCTCACCGCTTCACCTAAATTTATTTTTGCGCTATGTTTTCATACGTGTGGGAGTGGTGATATCATTTATTTTTATTTTATTTTTTATTTTATTTTTTATTTTATTTGGATGTAAATGACGAAAACTATTGAGATAACAAACTACAACGGTCATGAGTTCAAGAATTTGTTCTTCGTTCCTCGTGAAAATACATTCTATCAGATACGAGGGAGAAAGGGTAAAGTTAGTTTGAGCGTTTATGACTACAAACATAATGGAAAGTTTATACAAGCATACGATACAAACGGTAAGCGTGTTTCATTAGCTTTGTCAAAACTTACTAACATTTATTTTGACAGTGATTTTGACCTATATGAAGAAGAAAGTGAGTCAGAAGATTATGAGCTGTTATGTGAAGCACAGCAATGGGAAGCGCTGCAATACTTTTGTAAGTGAGAACGTTTATTTTTACAGTAGTGAAGTCGTTTGTGAAAACGTTAGTGAAGTGAAGTGGTTGGCGGCTTTGTAAATATTTAATGTTAAGTTAGTGTTGTCGTTTGTGTTGTAAAATATATGTTAACGGTTTTGTAAAGTGTCAAATTCACAAGTATTGGGTAAGGAGGCGCGCAGTGCCTCCGTACACATGACTTGTATACTAACTATGTTTTTGCAAACTTAAGGTCCTCACTAGGTAAAACATAATACTCTTTGAAGTTAAGTATTTTCACAAAGAGAGGACCAACAATATCAAAAGATTGAATAAAGATTTGTATTATTTTATTTATTTTTAAGAACATGTTTAAGAACCCTCATTATCTCCACGAATATTGCATATTTTTCTATTCTAAGACCACCAAAATTACGTTTTAATATAGAAAATAACATATTTATGTGATGCTAAAGTCGAAGTCCTTAAAAAATTAGTGTTAAACATCCATTTATTACAAAATTGAAGAAATATGTGTAAAATATAACACATAATTTAGTTATTTGACTCAATTATTAGTTATGCAATATCAGTTGTGTTTATATCTGCGTTATATCACGAGATGCATTGAATTGTCATAATTAGATCACCGTAAATCTTATCAATTTTTGATACACTTCCGGTGAAAAATTTAGCCTTGACAATAGGATGAAATATATTGTAAAAAAATAAATTTTAGATTTTGAAGTTTATCATTTCGAATAATGAAATATAAACAATACAAATTTTCTGTCGTTTCGAGATTCATAAATGATCGGAATCTTCCAGCTCCGACTGAAATAGAACTTTCGGAAGCTAATTTTCAAGACGAATCTTCTTTATTAAGATTTATTTTGGATATCCCTAAGGATTTAAGCTTTTCCATTGACTCATATTCAATGAATCTTTTGATACATTTCATTATCGAGCAATCTACACAAAATGAAACAATATTAAAATTCACAATTCAAAATATCACTTCTTCGAATATCTTTCAAATAGATTTGATACTACTGGAAAATTTATTCGAATATTTATCGCATTATATTAACCAGATTTTTTTCATTTTTTCATTAAAATTAATTCATTTTAAAGCTTTAGATAACATACAATACCTTTATTTATCAACATTTTCCGATCAATATGATGAGATATTACGTTTCATAAGCAGCAGTGACAATTCTCTCTATATCATCGATACATTTATTGCTTTGATTAAAAACAATATTCTTGACGTTGAATTCTTCCAAAACGCAGTTTTACTCAAGAAAGAAATTTTTTCTAGTATTATTGAGTACGAAAATCAATATTCAACTTATGCAATTGCAAATTTCTTTACAAAATTATTAAAATATTACCCAGGATATGCAACTGCTCTTCCATGTTCGGATATACTAATATCAAATTATTTCAACTTTTTTAATGACGTGAATTCAATTATAAATAACGAAGATTTTGTTTATCTTCTCAAATTTATAGTTTTATTTTATAAAGCAGTCGATATAACATCTGAGATGGCTTTAGAATTCATAAAAACACTTGAAATTCTGCGAAGTCTTTCTCCTCACTATTCATTTACAGAGTATGTAGTTCAGGGGTATTATTGTGTACTTCCTCTTATACCCATGCAAATTTCATCTACCGATTTTTTAAATTCACATGAATTTTTAATTAATTATGCAATTGAGAATTCAAATCTTCACAAATATTTGAAATTATATTCCAGATGTTTCCGCAGATTTGATAGCGATGAAATATTCAAAAATGTTTTTCATATCTTAAACCTTGTAGAAGTTACAACAGAATATTTATCAGAAAATCAGGATCTTTCTGAGAAACAGATCTTTATTTGCAACGATATCCTAACGAGGGTTAATTTAATTTAATTTTTATTTTTTATTTCAAGTTTGAGTAAACTTTCAAGATAATCTATATAAGCCTTTTGATGTTCTTCATCTAGATTCTTGTTTAATATGTGATGAATTTGATTTTTTTTGAAAATTCAAGATAAAATTCTTTTTTATCTTGATCAACAACATGAACAATTCGAGTACAGCGTAACATTTCATCAATATTTTCTGTTTTCTTCGTTTCTAGATATTTTTCAAATATTTCTTGCGGAATCTCATTTTGATATACCCATTTATTTTTTTCCGGATGCTGATCTTTGTACTTAACGAAATATTGCTTGACTATTCGCTCAGAAACAACATATTCGATCTCTTTTCTCTTTCTCATTGAATATTTGTGACACTTTTGAATTCAATCAAATCAAAAATATTTGAAATTGCTAGAATTTTTTTCTTTCTCATGAATATTTGAAATGACTCAAAAGGAAAACTCGTTCGATTCAATTCAATTTTGAATCAGAATTTTTTAAGGACCAATAAATCAAATTATGTTAAGAAAATCTTTTTTTAACTCAGAGTATCAAAAGTACGTTAAACCTTCAATTTTATCTCATGTCGGAAAGCGAACCGACAATAGTGGAAGAGAATCAAACTATATCAGTATCCATCCAAGCTATTGTTGATGAAGAAAAAGGAGATGGAGCTGATATGCTGGATTTAATTCAAAATGAATTGAATTCCCGTAAAAAATTGAAATATAGAATGGAAATACCTGAAAATCCCCCAATTCCAATTCTCAAGGAAAGATATAGCAAATTAAAATTTACAGATCCTACAGAAGCTGCTATATTTATTGCAAAAGATTCATATAATTCTTTTTATCCATTAAATTTAGTTAGTATACATATCATGTGTACTGAGGCACTGCGCGCCTCCTTACACTTGTTATGTGAATTTGACACTTTACAAAACCAGTAACATATATTTTTACAACACAAACGACAACACTAACTTAACATTAAATATTTACAAAGCCACCAACCACTTCACTAACGAATTCACTAATGTTTTCACAAACGACTTCACTAATGTAAAAATAAACGTTCTCACTTACAAAAGTATTGCAACTCCTCCCATTGCTGTGCTTCATATAACAGCTCATAATCTTCTGACTCACTTTCTTCTTCATATAGGTCAAAATCACTGTCATAGTTTATACCTGTAAGTTTTGACAAAGCTAATGAAACACGCTTACCGTTTGTATCGTATGCTTGTATAAACTTTCCATTCTTCATTCCTTCATAAACGCTCAAACTAACTTTACCCTTTCTCCCTCGTATCTGATAGAATGTATTTTCACGAGGAACGAAGAACAAATTCTTGAACTCATGACCGTTGTAGTTTGTTATCTCAATAGTTTTCGTCATTTATATAAAAATAAACTTAAAAATAAACTTAAAAATAAATGATCTCACCACCCTCACACGTATGAAAACATAGCACAAAAATAAATTTAGGTGAAGTGGTGAGATCTCACCTCTTTTTTCACCCACTTGAATTCATTGCTTTATAACTCTCTTCCTTGGTTTCTTTTTAGTTGCTTTCTTCACGTCTGTCTCCAACTTGACTGTCTTTCTTCTTCGTCCATAATGATACCAATTACTTCCACCAGTCAATGGGTCAAATGGTCGTTCATAAGGGTTTCCATACATTCCATAAGGCCCGTATGGATAAACCGCTGGTGGAGAAGAAACATTTTCTTTAGTTCCATCGACTCTATTTAAATGCATTGTTTCACCTTTCATCTGGTCATTAAAGTCTTTTGCGTGTTTTGCAAACTCATCGTCCTTTCCTAAAGCATTTTCTGACTCAGTCGCAACCAAATTGGATGCTTTATTTATGAGCCCTATTTTATTTAATCTTAACTTCTTTGCAACCCAGCCTCCAATCTTCCCTTTATTTGCATCTAATGTCTTCGAAACCCTACCTCCACTCATTTTATTTACTGCGTCATAAGCTCCAAGTGCTTTTGCTCCAAATGCTAATGCTTTTGTTCCCATTGCGCCTAAAGCTGCCCAAGCTACCATTTACACCATATTAAAATCATCTCTCTTCAATATTATCTCATAAAAGTTCTCGTTACTGGAGAAAGTCAATGAAACATAAACGTTCTCACGGGCTTCGCCCTCACCGCTTTGCGGTCTATCTAACTTCTTTCTTATCTCATCTATTCTCAATAAAATGTCTGAACAATTGCTAACATCTTCTACAACAGTTATTTCATCATGAATGACCTTCAAGAACAAGCTCATTTAATATGCAATTAAAATCATCTCAATAATGAGTCCATCCTTTCCATCTTTAGGTAGCACAACATCTTTCATTGAAGAAGGTTCGACAAGTCTTATGTTAAACTTACTGACAAAGTTTGTTATACTATAATGCTTCGGCGGCGAATACATGTAGTTTGAAAGACATAATATAGATTCTTCAGCAAATTCACTTATACTGGATTTTATAACAATGTTCTCACGAGACCAAATACCACCAATTGACAATCTTGTAAGCAATCCTGCTGAACCTTCAACTGTAAACGTCGATGGTAACATTCCACGAAGGTCATCTATTGGCATCTTTGAGTCACTGAATTTAAATATTTTCTTAAAGCAATCGTCATTATCTAACCATGCAATAGCTTTGAAGTTTTCATTCGAATATACATCTGCTTCATTAAATGTAAAACCTGACTTCTTTGCAGAGATGACTTTAAAATCTATTGAGTTTGTTTCAAAATTATATGCTATGGTAACTTCTGAAGGCAATGGATGTCCTTCCGCAGTCAGTTGTTCTCTCACTACCGTTTGAAGCTTTGTGTTAAAAACTTTCATGTCATCTCCTGTATCTAAGTTCACATACACAGCAACAGGGAAACTATCTTGCTTCTTTGTTTCATCATTATATCTCAAAACATTAAAGTTCTTCAATAATATTGTTCTTCCTGCTGGAATACTTCGAACCTGTCTGATTTCAATAGCTTTCTCACCTCCTACATACTCTACCCAGTGTCTTGGATATTCATAAGTATACTGACTTTCTTGAATTTTGGTAGGTTTCATCATAACGTGTTCATAGTATATCTTTATACTCTTGTCAGTTAGACTCGGTGCTATGTTCTGAATATTTCTGACTTGCATTTTTAATGGAGATAAAATGAAGCATTTAATACATGACGTAGATGAAGACATGAATGAAACTACAGACAAACTTAACTCTTCTCTCATTCTTCCTTTCAGTAAGGACTATGAGTTCTGTTCAAATGGTGTTTATTTCTATTGTGGAAAGATGGGTTCAGGTAAGACATTTAACCTCATTCGTCATATACTCATAACAGAGCGTTTAGGAAACGACTCTTACTATGACCAAATCATTATATCAGCAACTTCAGACTCTATGGATTCAACAGCGAAAACATTCATGAGTAAAGTTCAAGCCTCTGTCGTTAAAGTTCCAGATAGCGAACTCATTGAATTTCTTCAACGTTACATTCGACGTAAGAGGAAATATTATGCCATCGTTGAATTTATACAGTCAGGAATGCAAAAGACTTCTGAGGAGATGGAAAGAATTATTGACAAACACCACTTACGTCAGTACTCAGGAGTTTACGATATGAAACGACTTACAAACTACATTCTGTCAAAACTTTCAAAATACCCCTTCAAAAAGTATCCTTCAAACACTCTGCTCGTTTGCGACGACTTCGCCGGAAAAGGTTTAGTGTCAAAGCCTGACTCACCATTAGCTAACATCATAACTAAAGTCAGACATTACCATTTAACTGTAGCAATACTTATGCAAACATGGCGTTTCCTTGCTTTAAACATAAAACGTCTCATAACTGACTTCGTTATCTTTCAAGGTTTCTCACGTTATGACATTTGAACTCATTTGGAAACAGTCAGGTATAACATTACCTTTTGAAGAAATTTGGGAAGCATATAAGTCTCTCATCTCTCCTCGTTCATACCTTGAGATTCATATCATGACTAATACCATTAAAGTCAAAAATATTCCATGGGAACGACCAACATTGTTTTAAAGTTTAACCTTCAATTGACTGATGGTAAACAAATTCCATGCATCTCTGTCGCCATTTCTGTTAATATTTTTGCTGTCATTCATATCATCCACTTCCCCATCCGTTAGCTTTTGAGGATATGCGTTAGAATAGCTGTTCTTAAATGAAGGCTTCTCTCCCTTGAGAGCATAAACTCTATAACTTTCTGCATACTTTATGTTTGAACCTCCTGAGCCATCATTGACATAAATTTTTATAGGCTTCCACCCTTTGTTCATGTTCCTGCTTCTTCCCTTAGCTCTTTTGTTCAGTAGTTCTACATCTTTATACACAGCACCTGTCTCAGTGAATTCAACAATATTTTCATTCGTTAGCTTTACATTCAAACCCTTGTCGAGTATATTGTTCATTTCATACATATAAAAGGTTTTTATTCTATATGAAATGAGAAGCAAATCCATCTTAGCTGGTGCCGTTAATGTTCCAATTGAACCAACATCAAATGTTGACTCACGAACGACAAACAATATTGTCATAAAGAACTATAGTTCAGAGTGTTTGAAAGAAAAAGAACCAGAACTGAAATCCGTGAATTTAAACTCAGCTTCAAACGCTAACGCTACATCAGATGTTAAGTTAGAGTATCCACCACTGGACCAAATTCTTTCAAGAGAAGCCAACGACAACCCTTACACAAATGTTCAAACAAATCCTTCAGATAACGTAGACCATTACCTTCTTCAGTTATACCAAACAATTTTACTCAAAGACGATAAGAAGCTTTTGACAAATCTTATAAGCAAGAACCAAATAATTCTAACAAAGGAGGACCTTGAAAATGTTATCTCACGAATAACAGGGAAACAATGTGTCATTGACTATCTCGACCCTGAAATCGAATGCTGTGGTCAAACTCCACTATTCATGAAAATAGGTAACATCCGCATCATTGAAACACCAGGAACTACAGGAGTTGAGTTTAAGTATAAATATTCGAACGAGTATACAAAACTTTCAACAGAATATAAACTTTGTTTGAAATATGTTTTAGTAAATTAAAGCAATTTGTAATATCTATCCAAAACTTCTTCAACAGTATCGAACTCATCTTCATAATGCAAACCTAATCTTATTGACTTGGTGCAGTTTTCACTAACACAATATTTTTCTGTTCTCTTGACTGACATAACTAACTCATTTGTTTCATCAAACAGCAACAACCAAAGTTCATGACCTAATACATAACATTCATACTTTATATTTTTAGCTCTGAGTTCTCTTGTAAGCTGTTGCATTTAATATTTTCTAAAAAGTCAACTTCAACAGTCATTCGCACTGGTGCCTTCAGTTCTACAGGCTCTCCTTGAAAGTCAACAAGTCTGAATTGCATGTCTTTCAAATTATGAGGACTAATGCGAACCCATTTACCTAAATGAGTTGCTATGACAGGAACGTTTGGAATGAACATTGAATTGACTGCATAACAGAAGGATTTATATTCTACTGAACCTTTACTATTAACTCCTGAAATGCCTGTGACATTAGCTATTTTAGACTCAATGTATAAACAATTACCATAACATACGTATGGAACAGATTTCATCTCAATCGTTTTGTCAACACTTTTCAAAGGAAATGTCATATGGTATGCTCCTAAAAGAAGTTGAACTCTATGACTCATTCGTGTTATCTTGAACTCTTTCTTGCTACTGAACTTCAATGTTCCCTCAGAAGAGAGTTCGACATCTATGTTGTCAATAGTTTCTTCATTTATGAGAGTATCTATGACTCCAGCAATTTTATCTATTCTATACTCTGCTCTGTTAGGAAATGTTATAAAACTTCTTTTGTCATCTATTTCAATCTCTATGAAATCTGTTTCGTCAGTTATAACGAATGAAGCAATAGTATTAAAGTCAACAACTCTGAAAGCAAGCGCTTCATTCTGAAGACCTAAGTTTGTTTGTAGCTTTACTGTCCCGTATTCGTTTGGGTCTGTACTTTGCAAATAGAACAACATTTTATTCTCATTAAAATATGACTATTGCTGCATATGCGTATGAAACAAATGAAGCAAGAAGAGCACATGAACTAGTAAACGAAAACTCAACTTTAACCATTGAAGGCAATGATTTAGTCATTGACGATGGAAAAACTAAAAAAGTCATTGATTTCGATACTTTTAACACTTATGACCCATTTATTACAACAAGCAAGGTTCCCATCATAAATGATGGAACGGTGCAATATATAAATTCTACAGTAGATGCCTCAATAGTGAAAGTACTGAATGTTCTCATTGAATTGTTAAAAAGCTTTCGATTTGACGACAACATTAAATGCCTAAAGAATTTAGTCATGAATGAGAAACAAATTCTCGGCGTTGCTGGTAGCAGTAATGATGTACACCTTATGACATTAGAATATTATAACGAACATAAAGATGAACTGAAAGGAGAGAAGGGTGACACCGGACCACAAGGAATACAAGGACCACAAGGAATACAAGGAATACAAGGACCTCAAGGCGAAAACGGTTTGGATGGAAAGGATGGAAAGGATGGAAAAACTGCTAAATCATGGATATGGGACCTTATAAATACTGGTTTAACAGCTGCTTCATATGGAGTTCTTCAATACCAAATCGGAAAGATATGGGCAGTACTTGGTGAAGAAGCTTTAGATGACGTTAAAAATGCTTTGAACTTCATTTCAAATGGTTCTGATACTATTAAAACTTTATCTGTTTGGATGCAAGAAACAAGGAGTCAAATAGATACTGTAAGACGTATAGCAAACAATGCACGTACGGATTGGATACTTTACGAGAAGCACAAAATACACTAAAGGAAGCAAATGATATTCTTGGCTCAGTATCAGACATGCATGAAGATTGGCTTAAAGGTATTGACAAATCTTTAAAAAATCACAGTCAGTCTATTGCTGACTACAAGAAAAGTATAGATTTTTTACATAGTGCTATGGACGTACATGATGGAAGCATAAGGAACTTACTTAATGCTAACAATAACTTACCAGGAACTATTAAAGCATTTATAAAGTCCTTTGTAAAACCTGGTGCTCTAACATTTAGGTCTTTGAGAGCAAGAGCATTGAAGTCAAGAGATGCAGAAACTCCAACAGAACCTACAGAAGGAACTGAAACAACAGAAACTCCAGAAGAACCACCAAAACCAACAGCTAATGAAATATTGTTCGAATATTTTCCAAGGTACTCTGTTCTCATTGCATACATTCAAGAAATACTTAAGAAAGCAGACTTGACTTTAGGAGATGATGAAAGTTCTGTATATCTTTCGTTCCAGTTTCAAATAGCAGAACTTTTGAGACAGATATGCTTAATGTATGACAACATCTCTGATTTCACAAGATATGATGACGACCATGACCCCGAACACGGTGAAGAAGAAGTTTTACAAACATCCATTAAGACAGGAAAGGTTTTAACTCAAAGTCTCATTATTGACACCAAAGATGGCGAAGTGGACGTTCTTCAAGAGCTGAAGAAAAATACTTCTTCGGGAGGTGGTGGTAGGCATGAACTTGAAATAAATGAGATAGAAGAGAAATTAGCCGAAAAAGCAGATAAAGAACATAAACACAATATCTCCGATATAAATGAACTTCAAGCTACATTAAATAGTAAAGCGGACAAGAACCACGTTCATTATATAACTTCAGACGAACAGATTATAACGGACTACCATGGATATTTAACACGAAGTGATGAAGCGAAGACAAAAAATGTTAATGAAAGAAGATATAAATACATTCGTGCTAAAGGTTATGACATAAGCTGTACTGTACAGTATGATGTAGCTAAAGCACCAGAAGCATTTGGTTATACCGGTGAAATTTATGCCTCTACTTTCAATGTTAACGGTGTATTAGTTGAACCAAGATTTACTTTGAGAGTTAAGTCAAAAATAACGTTTGAAGATGCTATTAAAAGTAAAGCTGACAAAGTTGAACTCGAAGCAATGAACAAAGTTTTGAAATCTCATAAACACAGCATCTCCGATATAAATGAACTTCAAGCTACATTAGACAGTAAAGCAGACAAAAACCATACACATGAATCCTTCACTACTGTTAGAGCTGATGACATAATACTGAACTTTGACCTTGGTTCAAGTGCACCTTTAGAGAATCCAAGTACAAGCGTAAAAGATACACTAAAAAATTTAGATAAGAGTTGCAGGAATATTGAAGATCATGCCAGAAACTTTGAAGCATATGAACTACCAGCAATGTTAGATAAGAAAGCAGACAAAACTTATGTGGATGCAGAACTAACAAAGAAATTTTCGAAACCAGATACAATGACATTTACAACAGAAATTATAAATGGTGAACCAGCAACTCCATTTGAATTTGTTAGAGGTCTTCAACCAGATACTTTTGAATTTTTCTTGGATAATTCTATTGAACTAACATTACATTATAAAAGTGGAACAAATGCAACATTTCATCCGGGAGATACATTCCAAATGGTATTTAATGACATGAGTTCTTTAGAATATGTTAGTTAGTATACAAGTCTCGTGTACGGAGGCACTGCGTTCCTCCATACGCAATACTTGTGAATTTGACACTTTACAAAACCGTTAACGTATATTTTACAACACAAACACAAACACCAACTTAACCTTAAATATTTATAAAGCTGCCAACCACTTCACCTCACTACTGTAAAAAAATAAACGTTCTCACTTACAAAAGTATTGCAACTCTTCCCATTGCTGTGCTTCACACAATAGTTCATATTCTTCAGTATCGCTGCTGTCGCTCCAATCGTCAGAGTCAAAGTCACTGTCAAAATAAATGTTAGTAAGTTTTGACAAAGCTAATGAAACACGCTTACCGTTTGTATCGTATGCTTGTATAAACTTTCCATTCTTCATTCCTTCATAAACGCTCAAACTAACTTTACCCTTTCTCCCTCGTATCTGATAGAATGTATTTTCACGAGGAACGAAGAACAAATTCTTGAACTCATGACCGTTGTAGTTTGTTATCTCAATAGTTTTCGTCATTTACATCCAAATAAAAATTTTCAGTAAATAAAATATAAAAATAAACTTAAAATAATGATATCACCACCCTCACACGTATGAAAACATAGCCAAAAATAAATTTAGGTGAAGTGGTGAAATCTCACCTCTTTTTTCACCTCTTTTTTCACCTCATGAATTCATTGCTTTATAACTCTCTTCCTTTCTCCAACTCTTCTAACTTCTTCTAAGTTCAGCAATGTTGTCCTCATGAAGTTTAATCTTTCTCAAAATTCCTTCTCTATCTAATGGTTGCTTTATCTTTCTAAACTGAACTCTACCATCCTTCATAGTATGAACGTAAAAACCTTCTGGAACCGCTCCTGATTTAATGTATTCTACCAAAAATTTTGTTTCATTGCTTCAGTGACTTTAGTCGTCATTTTACTCTAAATAAAAATGTTCAAATAAAATAAAAATAACGTTATTTTTTCAGTAAGGAAACGCAGGAGTTTTACGATTTATTTGAGGAGTAGGTTCTGGTTTAAATGTTGGAGTCGGTTTAGGAGTTGACTTTTGAACAGGAGTTTGTACTTTCATAGGTTCAGGAGTCATTGAAGGTGTTGTTGTGAAGGCGTTGGTTTTGACGAGGCGTTGGAGTTTGTTCAAATTCAGCTACTTCAGTATTATTTATAACATTTGCTTTATTTCTTTTCAACATCATACTGCTCCTGCTGTAGCTAGCAAACCTAGTGGGAGACCATATTTATATAAGGACTTGACCAAATGCTATTTTTGACAGGAGCTGGTGGAACACCTAACCTTGGTGAGACTGCTCTTTGCCATTGTGCAGCTCGTAAGAAATATTCAATAGGTGCTCCATAATCGTTTGGTAAAGTTTGTTTCATAGATGGTGAAGGTTCACGAGAGCTTGATGAAGAACTCATTTATAAGCTTTAAAAATAAACGTTCATCCTTTATTCCTCACTGTCGTCCGTGCTAAGTTATAGTCGTCAAGTCTTATTATTGGTATGCCTGACTGTCTTACTTGTATTGCAAAGCAACAATCCCTCATAAATCCAATAAGTGGCTTTGGTACGTTTTCAGTTGCTAGTTCAATAGGTCCTTTAACAGACAATTTGTATGTTATTGGAGCAGTAGATGTTTGACCTTGCTGGAAGCAAAAGTCCACTTCTGTTGGAAAACCACATAAGAAATGTGTGTTGTCATAGCTATCCCATTTATGTTCCACACTACCATCATCCACCAATGACCTCATAACATCTTCATTAAATCCTATCATATCATTGTTTGTATTGCAAGCGTTCGCAACCATTTCATAAAATACAGGTCCATATGATTTTTCAGGTTCTGCAGGCATATTTCCATAAGCTCCCATGGAAAGCTGAAGATATTTAAACTTAGGGTTCTCAAAATTAACATAATAGTTGTCTTTCTTTCTAAATAGTGCCCAAATACTTTTAACATTAATAGGCGTATAAGCTGCTGTAAATGTTGCACTTGAACTATCTGTATTCTTTGAGAATGAACCGTCCATAGGAATCCAATCCATAACTTTAACAGGAAAACATAAAGCCTCGTTTGTATAATGTTCTACAAGTTCTGTATAAATGTTAGGGTCTAAAGAGAATGACTTTGGATGAATGAAACATTCATTAAAATCCATCTTTGTTCGAAATAGTTGCTGGTTTACAGTTGTAATAGTAACTGTTCCACTAGCTTCTACTGCCTTCGTTATCATAGTGAATGGTTCATTCCATGGAACAAATTTATTTGTCGGTGGATTTGAATCTGAAGCAAATGCAACTTTAAGAGTTGGATTGAAAGCAATGATATCATTTACAGATATAGATGTGCATTGTAAGGCGTCGCTACTGAACTTTACTTTAAGCTGAATGTTTCCTGCAAAAGCTGGAATAAATCGAATAGCTTCTAATGGAAGGAATCTTCTAACAGGAATTCTTAAACGAAGCTTAAAATCAAATGATTTTCCTGCTGTAATTGGACCACTAACAATTTGTCCTGTTCTGCATGTTCCCGAATGACTCCATACATCTTCATGTCGAGTCTTTGAAAAACATCTACTTTCTTTATTTGTTCGGTAGTTTGTGAGTTTGAAGTTATATATGCTTCTTCTCTTGCGTTGTCTTGAGAATATACGATACGACCATTTGCAAGGATTTGATATCCAGCAACTGCATAGAAAGCGTCATCGAAACCAATCCAAAATCCTGGTGGGTTTGTTTTATTGGAACCTGAACCAATTTCTTTATCTACAATAAATTGACCTTCCATTTTATACGTAATGAATGTATTGTAAAGGTCCAACATATTTTCACCAGGAGGTGAGAGATTGAATGTTACCCATGTGTTATCTTTAGCAGTTCCAGGTTGTGATGGAATCTTTGCGTCAGAATATTTTCTATTAGTGTCACCAATTTGAACTGCATTGTCTATGATATCGAAATATGAGCGAATCTGATGAATATGCTCTGCTGGAGTAAATTCGTTTAACTGTTCGTTCTGCATGTATTTACTTCAGATAAAAATATCTATTTACTTCATTATTCTCACTCTTCTTCTTGGCATTCGTGGTGGAAGTTGTTTCTTGACATTTTCAATGAACTGTACATTCTCTTTTGTCTCAACTTCTTTCACTGGCGGGTCAGGGTTCTTTGACTCGGTTTGTTTTTCAATGAAATTCACGAACTTTGCAATAAGCTCTTGGTTCGTTATTGAAAGTACATCTGGCTTCTTTTCTTCTTGTTCTTTTGGTGGCTCAGTTTGAACAGAAGGTTTTATATGGGCTTCGTGGACTTCACCCTTGCCATGCACCTTAATGTTGTCGCTCTCTGCATTCGCTAATGGTACCTTTCTTTTTCTTACGTATATTTTACCATCTTTACTCTGACTTACGTAATAGAAAGGATGTTGTATTCCTCTTGCGTCATTTAATATAATAGACTCTCGCTCTGATTTTGACAAGCTCATTTTACATCGGTTAAAGTTTTAAGTTAGTTTTTTATCTACAGTCAAATGACTCAGACAAGTCATATGGACAAGACCCAAGGGGTCATAGATGTTGAAGCATTGAAGAAAGAAATTCGCGAGCAAATTTTATCCGAACTGAAGGAACAAAAACAAGAACAAAAGCCAGAGAGACCAAAGAGAAAACTTAGTGAAAAACAACTAGCTGCATTAGCTGCTGGAAGACAGAAGAACCCACGTTTGCTGGCGAAAAAAGCTAGAGAAGAAGCAAAAGCAAAGGAAGAACAAAAAGCAAAGGAAGCTGAAGCAAAGAAAGAGTAAATGGTTTATTTTTATCCAAACTAAATGTATAGACAAATACCTTTATCTGTTGCGTTCAGTAGTGAAAACCCTGACGTCAAAATAAAGGGGAACAGAGTAACGTTTAAGTTTCCAACAGACTGGATTGTGAACATAAATGAAGAGAAGTACATTGGCATAACATCTATGTATATAACACGTGCTTTCAGAAAGGTTGACTTTATACTTCAAGTCGAGATAGAAAATGACGAACAGTCTTTAAGCGCCCAAAACATTCACATATACAAATACTTTAAAGACGATACAACATTGTTGCAATGTATGATTTCATTTAATGAGATGTTCGAGAAAAAGTTCAACATTGAAGTACAAACTTTACAGCCTTTACGTGAGTTTCTTGCACAACTGAAGAAGAAGGTAGTCAGCCACAACTTATAGACTTTCATTATGAATTTAATGAAAATGAAGATGGAACACATGACTGTCAATTCATTGTATTCTCACCATTCAATGAAGTCGCTAAAAAGAAAGAAAATCCATTACGTATAAGATTTCAAATCTCCGAACCAAGTGATGATTTTAAGAATGTTTTCAATTATGATGCAATGCTTCCGAGGAAAAATGAATTTTCAAAGATTGTAACACCTGGCATTTGGGATAGAAAGCAAGCAATACTTTACTCTAATATAGCCAAAGGCGTTGAAAATGAGTTCATTGGTCATACAAGAACTTCACCACTTCCTAACCCTAAATACTATAAATTAACTGGCTTCAATCGTGAGTTTTGGATAGACATGTTCTCCACTCATGACCATAAATGTCCAGTGTTCTTGCCTCCAGATGGGAAGGACTGTCTCTACATTGAAGCACAACTCTTAAACTCTACCATCGCAGTATTGTAAAATCTACGCTAGCTTTATTTTTATCACGAATGACCTCATTGCTGACAAAAATAAATGACCTCATTCATGACCTCATTGCTGACAAAAATAAATGACCTCAGAACTTCAACTTACGAATAAAGCTTGTTTTAGTCGTTATTGAAAAGTTGAACTTTTCAGCAAAGCAAGGTTGACATGACTTACATAAGTCGAATGCAATCTCTTGACCATCATAAAGTGCTTTGTAAAGTTTCATTAAACTGAACTCAGAGTCTTTGTCATATGTTCCAACAGGTATGTGAATGTTCTTATCTTCATTGTAATAGCATTGTATAGCTTCAGGAAACATTTCATTAGCGGTTAAAGCAATAACATCTTGCTTCACGCCTTTCATTCTGCAGTGAAATGCAACTTCATTTAAATCGTTAGTGAGTAAGTCTATGTAGGTCTTCTTTCCACAGAAAATACTTTTATAAGCTAAACTTTGTATTTATTTTTTATAAATGAGAGTAATGAATCATAAATCTTGGTTCAAACTAAATACACCATTAACAGGACGGAAAGTAAGAGGCATATAAACTTTCATCGTTATAACTAAATGCTTCTGGTGCTTTACCTGTGTCATACTGTACAGTACAGGCTTATTGTCATAACCTTTAGCACGAATGTATTTATATGTTCTTTCATTAACATTTTTTGTCTTCGCTTCATCACTTCGTGTTAAATAATCCATGGTAGTCCGTTATAATCTGTTCGTCTGAAGTTATATAATGAACGTGGTTTTTTATCTGCTTTTTCGGCTAATTTTCTCATTAACATCATTCACTTCTAATTCAACTCTCTCCGCCAGAACTCTTATTATCATTTAATCTTTTTCATTAATTCGTTAATTACGTCATAAAGACTATATTCTGTTTTCGGTTTTGTAAATAATGAGTCAAATTTCTTTTCAATCATTACATCGCTGAAACATTAATGATATCACCAATTCCTTTTTTCATTTATTCTCTTCATTAATTCTGCATATATGACGAATATATAATCTGTTAATTTATTCCTCTTCATCAGAGGGTTATAGAATGTTTTGAAAATTGAATCATTAACTCCTCTAAATAAAATCAATAACTTATCAGGATACACGTTTTTAATGTCTTGAATAACCCGACCAGTATCCTCGCCACTATGTGACTCTGAGCCCGTTGGGCTCTGTTGTTCATGTTCTTCGTTCCCGTCGTTACGTGGTTTTATATCTCTAACCATCATCAACGCAGCCATAACCGGAGGTTTGTTGCTAGCCCTTGTTACGAAAATCCTCCGTTATGTATGGTATAATTCTAAATAATTTCTTTGTGTTTGTTAAACATTTGAAACAAGTCTTTTAAAACCATCTACAAAATTTCCTGTTTCACCTAATGTTCTTGCAGGCATTTACAAGCTCACCATTCCCGCTTTTGAGACCCAAAAAACGTCCATATTGCATTTATTTCACTCTGTATAGTTGTCCATTCAGCGAAACTAACACCCGCATTCGCTAAGCTGAAAATGAAATTCAGTGGATCGAACTTAATTCCACCTTCTTTTTCAATTTCAACGAACTCACTAACATGAGATTTTAAATATTCTTTCGTTAAAATTGTTTTCCCCGATGTTATGTCATTAACGAAACTATCACCGTCAAAAGTTAACAAAATTCAATTTCGTCGTTGATGCTTTTATTATCATACACCGCTTTATCGATAGTTTTTTGGGGCTCACCTTCTTTAGAAGCATATGAAACATTAATTGAATGAATTATATGTAATTCGTGAATGAATATAAAATCAATGATTTTCATTAATGACGCTTTAATGATTCATTAACTGTTGAATCCCTTAAAACAATTAATGAACTGTCATGGGCTTCGCCCTGGTCGCTTCGGTCTGAAAGACCTTCAGGACTCAAAGAGTCCGTTTGCGACTTTATGAAAAAGGTACACTGCAAACAGTCGAGTTTGGATCAAATGCTGTAGTTGGTGCAGGAATATTAATGATATAAGTCATTAAATCATTAAGTGACGTAAATAATGTTTGTCGTTTTTGATTTAATTTCTTTAGCATCTGTTATATATTGGTAATTTTATTTCTGTAGTTTCTGAATTAAAGATATTCGCTAAAATGTTTTGTAAACTGTTTGAACAGCTTGTGTAAACCGTTGAATTCGAACTCTTACGATTTCACCATCCTTTAATAAAAGGCAATTGTAACATGACGTAGTGGCTTGGGTCAAATCTTTCGGGATTATAATTCAACATATATTCTAACGCTTCATATACAGACCTATAAACAGTTGTGTCGTTCTTCATGACACACTTCACCATTTACAATGAATGGCATAGTGCATGGAGTTAAAATAGGGTCAAACTTTTCATAGTCCTTCCATGTTATGTATTTCTCGGTATTTTCCATCAGAAATAACAATATATTTGTCAGTAAGTGTGAAGAGAGTATTGACCAATAATATAAACGTTTAGCTCTGTCAGCTTCATACGCATATGCAGCAATACTCATATTTTTAATGAGAATAAAATGTTTGT